TCCTCTGCTGGCGCTCTGGTGGAGCTGCAAGCCAAATGTCTCTCTGACTCTGTATTAACACCTCTTTTGGACTATATTTACACAGGGGATTTGCCCTACAGTTACGGCCAACAACAGTATTATAGTCTGCTCACAGCTGCCTGCTACCTGCAGATGGATGAACTGCAAAAGGCTCTGAGGGCTCAACAGCAGACTGAGGTTTGCGCTGCAAATGGCGCAGAGGCTTCTGCTGAAGCTGAAAAGAATTCTTATAGGACAACTGTGAATACCTCCCCTCATATGCCATCAACATCCAGCATTTTTACCTTTAGAAAACCTGACGAAACAAACATCTCCAGTGAACAAAGTATGACAACCTCACCAGAGAGAGATATTCAGTATCAGGATTCAGACAATGTGGATCAGTTTAGTGAAAGTCAGATGCTCTCAGCTGCTATGGATTGCAGCACTGATGAAGTAGAAATAGATACAGGAAGAAATGGCAGAGACCACTGCAGTGGAAGGGATGCAAGGACGTTAAGCTATCCAAGTGCACCCTGTGGTATACTTGAAAGAACTGAAAGGAGCACAAATGCAAGACATGCCAGACAAGCAACTTATCTAACGCCACAGCATTTGACTCTAAATGTCCCTAGCATTGCTGAAGTGTATCACACGTCTAAAGTGGACAAAGAGGTGGAAAAGGATCGGCTTAATCCAGCTGGCATCTGGCAAAGGTACACAGGTGACACTCTGGTGAGGACAGCTGAAAATAGGAAGAGCTCATCTTCATCCCCACATTCATATTGTGGGGCAGTACCTGTCATCTGTCACAGCAGCAGAGCAGCTATCCCCCAGCTAGCAGATGTGTCTCCTGTGTCTCCCTTCCATTCAGCCCTCCAGGCTTCAAGCAACTCCAGCAGGTCTCCAGTCTCACGTTCAGCAAGCATAGAAAATGACAGCGTTGTTGAAGGTATTACATCTAAATGCAAACGTCAATATCAAGCACAGAGCCAGGAATACGGCCACAATAAAAAACACACCATTACACAAAATCTGAATAACAAGGATAATTTAGATCAATGTGCTTTACAAGATTTATATTACAAATCCAGTGGAGGTAGATCTCATTTTGACAGCAGCGATTCAGATCATTTTACAATACAGGACAATGAATGTGTTGACAGAGGATCATCTCACTTTACCAACAATAATGATCAGCATGCTTATTGTGATTCCTTTCAGAAAAATACACACAATCTTAGAGAAGATTCAGTGCTGCAGAGTAAGGACTGGAGCCAAGAATTGAAGCATAAAATTGATCTCAGGTTTGATGATTTCTCACCCCAAAAAAAGCAGCTGGATTTCTTTGAATCCTACAATGTCAGCAAATTGGCAACAGCAGAACCAGGAAGTCTGAGAGCTGAAGTTCCACTTATTGCTCATCCTGTGGAGGACTTAAACACAGAACATCTAGGTCCAGAGGAAGAGGTGAAAGAGGAACACAGTTACTCTAATAGAGTTCCAGCTGAAAGTGATATACAGGACAGCCACTGCAACTATGAACCAAAGAAAGGGTACTCAAACATATACAGAACTGACAAAAGTGCAAACAATGCTCCTTCTAACCATGATTCAAACTACAGTCCTACAGCTGTGGAAACCAAAGAATACCATGCTGATAGCTTCCCTAAATCTCTGCAAACTGAAAAGACCTCAGGCACTGACATCACAGAATCACATTCGATTTTTACAATGCCTGTGGACAGAAACATGTCTGACACCAGTGTTGACAGTGCTGTGGGACACTCTTATTATGGACATCTTCGTTATCATTGCCTACAGCATGATGATATGCAAGAGGATGTGCACTTATTGCAGGGAGGTTCTGATCACAAACATTTCCACTCAAACCACTTTGATGATTCTGATGGTTCAAGTGAGGAGGAAGACTTTGGTGCCTTTGAGAGTCCCCTAAAGCAGCACTACAGCTCAACAGAGACTACAGACCAGTTTCTTCTTCTGGATATTAGCACAAGACCTGCAGAACTATTAGTATCCTGCAAACACCAATCTGGCACAGAAGAGAAAGGGGATATGTTTGAAACTGGAATCTGGGCACATGATGGAGCAGAAAGGTACGAAAAAACATCTGTAGCATCTGTTGAAATGAAAAGAGTTACGGCTAGGGCTAAATTTGGAACTGGGAGACTTAATATGGGTGGCACACACTGGGCTGCAAAGACAAATGCTGAGGAAAGAAAGACTGTTGTTCAAAGTAATCCAGCTGTTGAGACTATTCAAAATTCTTGCATTGTGTCTGAAGTTTCCAACCTTAAAGAAGGTGAGAACCAAACCATTACCTCGACACACTGTTCACCTCCTGGAGTGTCAGACTCCGTGCAACCCTCTGTGTCTTTTTGCATGGCATCTGGCCTTTCAACCAGCATGCCAACCAATAGATCGGCTCATCTGTCATCTCCTGTTCACCACCCATTCCAATGCTCTCTATGCGACCGTTCCTTTAGCCAACGAGGTTCTCTAAATAGACATGTGCGGAGCCACCTTGGTGTAAGGCCCTTCCCCTGCCCCCGCTGCCCTATGACTTTTTCACGCCAATACCGTGTCACCGAGCACATGCGTGTTCATCAGCGATGTACCCCTGGGAATGATTTTCAAAAGCCCCCTGCTTCATCAACTTGAGAGTTTGAGGAAAATCTAGGAAACTGAAATGCATTTTTCATTATAATATAATGTGTGTTAGGATGACAGTTTCCTTTAGTGTCTTGCGAATATATGTAAGACAGGGAATTTTTTTACGTTTGATTTTTAAAATCAGAACTTGCAGCTGAAAGTTAGTCACTTTAATGCAATTAATATAGGCTATTCTAAATAAGCAAAAAAGTAGGAGGCCAAGAAAGTAAAGAAAAATAAATGCTGTGGATCTTAATCCTTTTAATATACAGCAGTAGGTAATCCTGTTGATTCACAGCTATAGCGTCCTGGATTCAATTCAGGGCAGGACCGTCCTGTTTGGAGTCTCTGCATTTCATCCGACCTCTGGGATATCTGGTTTCTGTCACCAGCAAAAACAAGTGTTCTTGCGCCCTTGACAAAGGTAATAAAACTGGTAGGAGTTGTTTCCCATAATGTGTTTACTATAGAGAATTAGTTTTCCTACAGCCATTAAATAAAAGAACCTATTAACTGAACATAGTGCAGAGGCAACATATCAAATGCATAAATAGAGAATGAATCAAATGAACTGCATTTTTGAATTTGATGCCAGCAACACATTAAGAACAGAGTGCGAGATAAGGCCATGTTGACAGTGATGCATCATCTCTGATATCAGAAACCCTGTATAAGTATTTGGCAACTGAGGTAACTAAATGCTGAAGTTTTAAAGGCAACATGTTTTCCATTCTTACCTTGGTGAAAGATTTTTAGCCTTTCTCTTATTGTATTTGTTGTATTTCATGTGTTGTGAATTCCTCCATTCCTCTGAAAGATGTGTCCTCTTTTTTCTGTTCATTTTATAACCAGTCATGTTGTTTAGTCGATGTCATCCTATCCTAGCATTCTCCTGTTACCCCTAAATTTACATATCCTTCATTATTCACCATTTTTTAAAAATTGCCCCATTATAACATTTGCTTACATCAAATTCAAAAGTATACAATTTTTAACAGTTGATATATTCCCTTTTTACTATTTTAAGCTAAACATATGGTATGACTGATTTGCAAATCAGTATGAAACCCAGAAGCAATTGGCAGGCAGGCACAGAAGCAACCTGGAAAACAAGGTGGCATTTCCCTGCAAACTAAGTGTAGAACAAATGAATATTTTATGTTTATATATTTGATATTTCACAATAACAATGTGAAAATAATGGCCAAATCTACAGAAAATACCATTCTGAATCTTCCCTCTACTTTATCTGTTCGGCTTGCAGTTTACTGTACTGGCAGCTATTGCATTCACATATCAGTGTAAAACACTCTAAAAGATTGCAGTATACTACTGGCACCAAACAACAAACAGATACCAGCTCATGCACAAAGTAGATCATTTAGTATCTAAACAGATAGAGTTCATTAGAGACCAAACCGAGTAAAACTTAATAATGACTTCACATTCACCAGGTAGCCAGAACCATGACATTTCCTCTGTGTGTGTGATTTAATTTAAAGATATTACCATGTCAACTAACTGGCTGGTACATTATATTCCAAAGTTGCTTTCACGGCCTTTCACATCCACAGGTACCAGAGTTGTCTAGTCTAATGCAGAGAGGGAGAGACACACATATTTTATGCTCTTATTAACTTTGCATGTTTAGCCATTAAGTGTAGCAGATCTTTGCCATAATGTTGACTTCATTCCATATAGTGTTGTGATTCTGAATCTCTCTATATGTATTAGTTATATGTCTCACATAGTGTTCCCTGTAAGAGAGGACAGCTTGTTGGGTGTCACAGTGTTTGTGCCAATGGTGTGAAACATGAGTCAAGGGCGGCTATGAGGTTCTGTGCATGTTCTGTCTGGTCTATTCCAAAATATTCCTGTTATGGACAGAAGGGTGAAAATGGATCATATTATTTGGTATCTTACACCTGGTATGAGCTATTGGTACCTTTGAGGTAAATACATATATAAATAAAAGGGCAATGCAATTTATGAGAGGTGCTTTAAGTTCCTAAGACTGCATTTTCATGTTCTGAAGTTCCCGCCTATTTGAATTTTTTTTTTTAAGTTGGGTTATTAACTTGTGATGCTAAAAAAAAACCTTGTAGGACATTTACTTGTGTACTTATGATTAATAAGGAGTGCTGTTAATATTGTTTTGTTATACTAATGTAATAGTTTGGGCTCTATGGCTTTTGAAACATTAGCTGTGAGATGAGCAGTCTCCAGGTAAAATCAACCAGCTGATCTAAGAACACTGGAACAGTCAAACTGCAAAGTGAGACAAAGACAAACATTTCTGATAAAACAGATGTAATTAATTTTGAGGTCATTTAACTTTAATATTATAAGAATGTAACATTGTACTTTAACTGCATTAAAAGGTTTCATGAAAAATGTTACGATACCTTAAAAATATTTGTGTGTGTGTGTGTCTTTCTTGCAAACATCCTTTCTATCTCCTTTCTGTTTCTTTATTAACATACAAACACACATATATCAGCACACATTACAAACAAATACAATTAGTAGGGAAATATGAAAAAAGGTGCAACACATGCAATAATGCAATTAATTAATTGTATTAATTTTATAAGGAACCATCAGAATATCTGCTAAAACTCAGTTGGGGAGGTGCCCCAACAGAATTAAATGGCAGTATCTAATTAATTAAGGTAAATTGGACCAGTAAATACATTTGTACATAAATTTGGTTTATTAAGGATAGTATTAGCATGTGACATGGAATATGAACCATACTTGTATGAAACAGATTATTGATTTGTTCCTTATTGATTTATCAAGTTTATGTTAGGCCATACACCATGCAATTTCAAAACGATGTATTGAGTCTGCCCCTTCAGCAAAACTAAATGGTTTGTTTATACAGTATATATATATTTCTTCTCTTAATTTTTCACACTTCAGACAGTCCTCTTGTGCTTGCTATTCAACTGACAAATCAGGTGATGCAGCAGTCATCACTACAATGGCCTGAAAGAGGAGAAAAAATCATTAGCGTAACTTGACCTTTTGCAACTTTTTAAAACAAATATTGGGGAATAAGTTCCTTGTGGGACATTCCCAACACTAAGCAATGACTGCAGTGTGTCCTCTTACCTGGCTTTTTGTGGATCGCAGGGCAATGCCAGCCAGAGCTGACATTACAATGAAAATAACTGCAACAACAAAAGTGTAGAACACCAAAACTGCTTCCAAAGCCAATCCCATGAGCTAAAAAAAAGGTTTGACATTAAAGAAATGAAATACACTGTTACATAGCATTTAACGCTATATTATATTTAATTTAATACATTTAAGAATTTAATTAGTTAAATTTAAAGCTCCAGTCAAAATACATCATGCTGTCCAAAAGATAGGCAAATAACAATAACAATAACAATAACAGAGACATAAAACCTGAGGCTGAGAAATATGATAAAACAATCACCTGGCGATTTTCCATTGGTTCAGTAAATGAAAAGGTTCCATTATCATAAATGTAATCTAGGTGGTAGGAATATGCTTCTATGTCGGGCAGGATGTGTATTAAAGTCCAGCATGCGACCAGTATGGAGACAATGCTCAGAGATAACGAAATGGTTACCTGCAGACACCAACAGACAAAGATGGGGGTGATACACAGTCATTTCAAACAAAAAGTTTCCACTGGAGTCTATGCAGTTCTGTGAAAAACTGAGTACACATGAGAACCACTGTTGTAGCAATAACTTCAAATAAAATGTGAAAAAGAAATCACAACTTCAAGGCACTTTGTAAGGTAAAGAATCTATAGAATCTTTAGCATAAGGGAGAAATCTCCAACAATCAAATGATACGTTCTGAGCAACTTCTTAAGAAAAAATCCCATTATATTGAGGTTAGTAAGCATTTGTTTATGCACAGCTCTCTTAAGGTCCAGCCACAGAATTTCAGCTGGACCATTCAGCACCTCAAGTATTTTTATTCCCAGTTTCTTTCTTGTAGATTTGCTGGTGTCCAGTGTTTTGCTGTGAAAAGGCTTTCTAATGGAAAACCTTCCAAACAAACTATTCTCCTTCAGTCTTTTTCCAGTTGTACTGTCATAAAAATTAACATTTAACATGCTAACAAAGACCTGTAGTATAGTTTGTTTGTCGCATGATCTGACTTTGGGGTGAATTATATGATGTCCACATAGTGAAGATTGTTGTTAACATACATCTGAATGCTCCAGACCAGCAAACTGCCAAAAACATCTACTTTTACAGAGATGCTCTATTAATCAAGTGCATTTGCAGCACTACATACCCTGTTTATTTCTATGGAAGCAGTAAAGATGTGATTTATCTTCACAGGTGTTAAGATATTAACAATGTGAAACTATAAATCAAACTACACATTAAACTATAAATCAGTGTTGATGATAATGCAATATTAAATTCTAAGGCATCAATAAACACTTTTATTTGAAGAAACCTCTTGTTCAATATCTAGTTCTAGTATAATTTTGCTATAATATAACATTCATCATATTTCAGTAGAACTTACTGTTTTCTTGGTGGTGTTGTGTTGTGCCAAAATGTATGTAATTCCACATATGATTAACTATGAGAAGACAGAGAGAAAGACAGATTTATTACATATCCCATGTGTTGGATGGTTGTAAGGTGACAGGAAAGCAAACACTGACACTAAAATGAAGTGCAATATAAATTCTGATTATTTAATACTTCTTAAGTTGTACTAGAAAAAATATTGAGTCACGTCAAACTTCCCAAGGCACTATTTATTATTCCCTTGTTGAACTACCAACCAGTGTCCCCAGCAGGAAGCCTGGTGGGATGACTGTCCATATATGCATCATCTGGGAGTCTGCCGTGATCGCAATGGATATGATAAAGAAGGATGCACCCAAGATCAGCACAATTGTCTAGGAGAAAACATAAACAACTTTTAGCATGATTTGGTTAGCTATGTTTTATTTTCTGTGGCAATATAAGCCTCAAGTTCTTCTCAAATGTGGAAAGATACTGAAATGAAACAAAACAACAAACATTCGTGTGTGTATGTGTCAGTGTCTTACACCAATAATTTTGGGTTGTCCCTTTAAGAAGCGGTGTAAAGGTTTTGTGCCCCCCACTGAGGTGTCTTGAGGATTTCCATTATTCCCACCTGGATCACTCACAGAGAGGAGCTCAGCAGACATCTAACCCATTAACACACAATGGTTCACAATCATTATTCTCAATCAATTCTTAACAAATGCATGTATCAAATGTCAGATTTATCATCTGAAAAACTAAAATAACAATGTTTAACTTAACACAGGAAAAATAAATCATAGTTCCCATGAAGCTCTGGCAGCATGTGTGTAGCTAATGGGATTTCTTCTTATGCCAGCACAATATTTTTTCACTTTTAACCATAATTATACACTACAGCATTCATTTTTAGTTGTATCTTAGGAGATAAAAGCTCCCGGAGCCCATTTAAGCTTGTTGAGAAGCCCAAAAGCCTGATGCTACAGATGCTGTTGAAATAGCATGGAGTCTGCAACAGATTAGCTACTAGCAACTGATCAACAATAGTCCAATAGACTGGCTGCCTGGTGCTTCAGCTCGTTGTCTGTAAGTAAACTAAGCAACTGTAGACAGTAAGCACATTCACAACATAAGCAGAAGCACTGTACTATAAACTATTTATTTAAAAAAGGAAAATCTGCTGTTCCACCAACCCACCGACACTCAAAAGTGTCTCTGCTTTAAGCTACAACTGTACTTCATTTTGAAGTGACTGACTACAAAATAAAGTTTGGGGGTTTTTTTACCAAGCAAAAAGAAAGCTAGTAAACAAGAGAAAAAAACAGACCGTAGGCAGCTGTGCAGTCAGAGCTGTAGTTCAGTGTGGAAGCTCTTCTCATATCAGGTTCACATCTGGAGCAGTTTATGGGTAATCTCTGGACGATCACATCATTTTGAACTCTGAGTTTTTTGGGAGTGTTTTTCTCTTTTTCTCCCCATTCCTCCAAAGTGTTTACTCATTTCTGTGTAGCTGAAGGGTTTTACTTTTTACTGTGAATGACTGTGAACTATCCATTACGGTG